CGGCCCGGCGGCTGCGGGCCCCGTCGCAGCGTCCCGGGGCACGGCCACCGCTGGTGGGGAGAAGCGGCGGCAATGCTGGCTGCGGCTTGGGCTCGTTCGAGGGGAGAAGAGGAGCGGAGAAGGGCCGAGCTCCCAAGATGAGTTGAGCTAGGTCAGATTTGGGGGAGCACCCGGCTCCCGGAGAGATCCTTTCAGCAGCCCTCCGGTAACGCGCTCGGGTGGCATTTCGAGCTCTGCTGTGTAACATACTGTGCTAAGCCCTGCAAATAGAAGATCTCTGATGACAGAAAGCTTACCTAGTTATAAATACATGGGTTCTGAACAACAGGGGCTCTAAGCGCCAAGCAGACAGAAACTGCTACATCTGACTGAATGCTCTATATTTAGATGATGACTGAACTAAACCATTTAGTGACTGAGACATTAAAACCATATAATCACTTCTCAAAACTTCGTAATTGCTTGCAAAGAAAAGGAACAAAGTAGGGAATGTAACACACTCCCCCTTAACATCAGTGACTATACAAGGTTAGGACACTGAAAATAAACTGATTATGCAATGTAGTTGTTCATTACTAGTAACAATTTAAAGCTAACTTCACATGAATAACTGCCTTCAGGTACAGTGTAAGTCACAAGCTTTCAAACTGCCTGAATGCTTTCAGCAACTCTGTAGTTAGTCTGAGGAAGTTCAAAGTTAAAGACACTAGTTACAAGAGATCAGATCAATAGACAAAAATGCTTAAACAACTTCTCCTGGGAAATCTTCATAGAAGAGCTTTAGTTTCAAATATGAAAAAGACCTGCTCAAGGAGAAATGCCTGCTTTTATTTCTGAGTTTTGAGAAGCTGTTGCCTTTTATATTCATTTGCACAGCCCCACACAGGCATATTTGGGCAAAGGGTATGTGAGCACACAGGAAATCCTTCTCTTCAGAAGAGTCATGTTTACAGATCTTCAGCAAAAACCCCAGAACAGCACTATTAAGAAAAAGTCAGTATTTGGAAGGTGAGTCAGTATCTAGAAATCAAAAACTGGTAATAGCTTTCAGAATCTTTACTCAGATGTTTTGTCATTTTATGCAACACTTCCCTTGACCTCTAAAGCAGGTGAAATGCTGCAGTTTGACTTCAGTATGTTGACCTTTCTCAGAGAGCTTGGCGAAAGACCAGGGTAAGCTTGAATTTCTTTAAGAGCGTCTGCACAGTATTATTTCATGTCAGTCCACATGTTTCCTATTCGGAAAAAAACCAAACAAGGTGCATATACACAGCAAATCTCTATACAGTCTATTCAGAGTAAATTAATTTTCCTCAGAAGATGCATTTATTTGTTACCTGATTACTTCATCCTCAGCTCTACTGCTTGTGATTTTTAGTCATTTATTTTGCAATGTTTTTAATAAGAAATAACTTTTAAAAATCTGTAATTCTGAAAATATTTCATAAAGATGTCACAGTATCACATATCTGTACCATAGGAAGTGACTTGCACAGCAAACCAGCAGGAACAGAAGTCAAACTTCTGCTTCCAGTTGTGTTTGCTACTCCAGGTAAAGCTTTAATTTCTAACTTCATTGTTCAGTGTTATCTTTATTTAGTGAGTGCCACATTCACATTTTGGACGAATTGTACCTTATAATCTAAGAAGCTGTGTGATTTCCTTCAATTCACAGACTTTACATCTGCTGGGCAGACACAACTTGCTTTATCCCATCCTGCTCTGCTGGAGACAGCAGTGTTAGCATTGCCTGTCACACTCTGCAACTCTTGTTTCTGTGACTGTTCAGATTGTTCTGCTACACTGAGAGACATAGCTGGTTTGTTTTCCAACACAATAAAGTATGGAACAACAAAGTGAAATATTGGCAAGACCAAGCTTTTTCAAAATTTTGTTGATTTTATGTGAGAAATTAGAACTTTAGCCATTCCCTAGCAATAGCGAGTCTTTCCTTCTTCACCTAAGACGTTTCTCTGGTTAACTGGGGAACTGAAGGGGAAAAGAAGTATCTGGAGATGGGCTCTGAAGTAACGTGGCCAGGACACGGTTATTCTAAAAAGCTAGATTTTATTTTAATATTTAAAATGTAAAAGGAGATTTCACTGATCATCCAAGTCTTCTTATGGAGTCAGTTCTCCATTTTTTATTTCTTTATAAATAGCAACAGAAAATTGCATATTCTAGCAATTCAAAAATATATTAGTGTAGATTTTCAACATAAAGTATAATACAATTGTTAGCTGAATAATATCAGTTATAAGTCTGAGATTGTATTTACTAAAGTGCTTTTTTTTTAAAAAAATCTTAAAAGTGCTTGTTTTAATAAACCAGGCAGTGAACTGTAATACAGCATTTCTCACCAGTGGATTGCATTTAATTTACTCTGCAAGTCTGCTTTTGCTCTCTTCAGGGCATTACATATTTATCTTTTTCAAGGATACTGTTGTCCAGCCTAACTTACATAATGTAATCCTCAATATTACCCAACAAGGAATTAATTTTCCTTTATAAATTACTGCCCACAAGTCCCTGTTCATTTTTGTTCATTTTCCAGAAGTTTAAGTAGGCAGCTTCATATTAACTTCTAACTTCAGCCATTTAGCAGAAAACCTTGAAGAACATTCATTTTAAGTATTTAGCAAATAGCTAAAAACTGAAACTGGTGACGCAGATCCTGAGAAAATGAAGCATTCATAAACACTTCAGACTTAAGTGCAAAACTTAAAAGGGCATCCATCAACCATTACTGGTTTCAGTCTGTGAAATAATTCAGTTGTATGCAAAAAACAATGTGAAAATTGACAATTTAGTGGTTTGGGTCTTTCTGTATTAAAGCAACACTTGAAACTGGGGGAAAGCGTAGAGGCTGACCATACACATTTCTGGTTTGGTTTGGGTAGAAGGATAATTATTAAGACTTAGGTAAACAAAATTAGCTTTAGTGTTATAAACAGTCACAATCATTTCTTAATGAGTTAATAAACTGCTAATAGATTTATAGCATTTGGGAGTCAGCTCCTGTACCACCCACACAGACCCGTGCTTGTCAGCTGTACAGGACTGTGTGCTGCCAGTGGCTGGTGTAGGTTCTTGAATTTGCTTCCTGGACCAACACATTATGAACCATTCGTTGACCTTAAGTATTATAAGATTATAATGAGAATGAATGAGAAAATTGTAACCTGGGGCGAAAAGTACCTGCTGGATACAGCGACAGGGGCTTTGGATTCATGGATAAAATCCCACACAGATTGTCTTCTAGAAGACCAGGGAAGTTTAGCTAATCCAGAATACTAAGGAGCAAAATGGCAGGTGGAAGGGAGAAATTCTTTTAAAAAAGATGGGCAACATACTTCTCCAAAGGTCACTGGTCTCCACAATTGCAAGGGAATGAATCACCAACTGACATAACACAGATTTTAAAACGTTTGTTCGAAACAGATTCAGCAGACAATTGAAGTTGAAGGGGAGGAGATAATGGGTTTCAATTAAAACAGGTCCCTCGAAATTAATCATCACTTTTTTTTTTTTTAAAAGACACTGTAAAATACATTTCCATTAGAAGACCTGAAATTCCAATTAGAAGACCTACCAGGCTGTGTTTAGGACTGAAGCCATGAAGTCACTGACTGGTACCAGACAAAATAAAAACACAAGGGAAAAAAGGCAGGGAGACTGTTCTGGTAAGAAAATTCAAGAAAAAGAACCACTTCAAGTGAGACAGTTTCCAGTTTAGTGCACCCAACAGGAACAACACTGAGCAAAACAGAGAGTTGCTGAGGAGCACTGAATGTGTTAGAATTTCAGTGACAAGCAAAATCCATTTGGGGAACATGTACCACTGGGAAGAAGGAAAAAAAAAATAAAGGCAATGTGCTAGAGAAAGTTTTGCCTTGAAGAACTTGTAGCTCTCAAGGAGAAAGTAAAAAAGGCTCAGACCAACACTAGTATATATACAGAGCTTTTCTTCACATTTTTTACATGAAAATTACTTTTCTTTCACAGACTAGGTACTACAGAGAATTTAGATATTGGAGATGAAAATAATTTGTCCTGTTGTAAACTACAGTTTATGGGACTTTAAGAGGAGGATATACAGCAGAAAGTTGTGAGGTGGGTGTAGAAGATGACTACAGACAATAAGAAATAGTCCTGCAAAATTGGAAAAAAAAATTTACAACTAGAAAAACCCAGCAAAACACACCATTAAGGAATATGCATAAGGAAAGACACGAGACCTATACAGGAGACATTGGAAAAATACTTAAAGAAATTACTAGGTTTGCAGCAACATTTAGCAAAGGAATTTATTGAAATTTTGTATTAGTTCACCTGAACAAAAGATACGCTCTCTGGATATGCACCTTAATCAAGTCTTTAAGTGATAAAGGGGATAAAGAAAAGCCTGCCCTGGATGCACAGTTTGTGAAAATAGCTACATTGGGTCCTGAAAGAAATTTCCACTGACCAACTCTCAAGCCAATGGGGGAAATCTTCAAGTAGGGAGTTTGAGGAGGAACTTAAGCCATGTTCCCTTGTTTCAGCTCAATTAAAAAGTGTCAAGAAAATCCTCGTATAAGATGACATGTATTTCTATTAAATGACTGCAAAGTGTTACAGCACCTATGCCTCAACTATGATAAGATCTGGAGAATTTAAAGCTAGTGTAAGTTTTTCATCATACATACTTGATGGATTTGCAGAACAGCTGTATTGGATCAGCAAAGGTTCAACTAGGTGAGTATCCTGTTTGTGATGATGGCCAACAGGGGATACCTACCTAGAAAAAAAGTTATAAAAACACAGCAAGACAACACTCTCTTACTCTGATTCGCCATCTTGGGATATCCTGAGGAAGAATTTTTTTCCTAAATTTCAAGTTGCTTTTTGAACAGCCATGAACTTTAACAAAAATCATGCAGCAAGGAGTTCCACACTTATTTA